CTGCGATGCTAATGGGTGCTCGGGTGTCCTGATGTGCTAGCATTGTTGCTTTAGCAATCAGTTCCTTAACTGTGGAGAATGCTTTTCGTGCGGTGTCGTCCAAATTAATGGATTTCGCATTTCCACGAAGTTGGTCGGTCAGAGGTTTCATGAGTAATGCGCACTTCGGTATGAAACGTCTATAGAAACTTACGAGGCCGTTAAACGTGCGTAATTGCTTGACGGTGGTCGGTTCTGGGTAATCCAGAATGGCCGCCACTTTGGTCCTAAGAGGTCGAATGCCTTGAGCATCGATAGTGTGTCCTAGGAAGTCTAACGAGTCGGTTCCGAATTGGCATTTCTGAACGTTTACAGTAATGCCTTGTTTTTGAAGTCGTTCGAAAACAAGATCCAGATGCTTGAGATGTGTTTCTCTGTCCGGACTTGCGATTAAACAGTCATCAACATACGCGTGTACGAAGTTGAGACCTCGAAAAACGTCGTCTATAAATCTTTGGAATGTTTGGGCAGCATTCCTTAGACCGAAAGGCATTCGCAAAAATTCATAGAGTCCGAAAGGAGTTATGATAGCTGTTTTCGGTATGTCGTCAGTAGCCATAGGGATTTGGTTATACGCTTTAACCAAGTCGATTTTCGAAAAGACAGTTGTACCTTTCAAGGTAGCTGTCAAATCGTGAATGTGAGGCAATGGGTAACGATCGGGAATGGTTTTCGCGTTCAATCGCCGATAGTCACTAGTTGGACGCCAATCGTTGCTGTCCTTTTTAGAGACCATGTGCAACGGAGATGCATATGGGCTACTTGATGGTCGTATGATTCCTAAATCTATCATGTGATCGAATTCGTTTTTCGCTAACCTTGGCTTTTCAGGAGCTAGTCGTCGTGCTTTAGAAAATACAGGTGGTCCTGTAGTCGTGATGTGATGTGTAACATTGCTGGTTACACACGGTAATCTTGGTTGCGTTTGTTGTATCCCAGGGTACTTATCGAGTAGTGGTTGATAGAGTGGTTCTATCATATGTTTAACTGTGACTGGGGATACTCTACAACCAGTAAAAGAAGTTACGCAAACAGACAAATTAGTGTTCCCGTCTACTAGCCTCCGTTTGCGAGTGTCGATGATCAGATTGTGGTGTTGTAGAAGGTCTATACCAATGATTGGCATAGAAACATCTGCAACAACGAAAATCCAATGGATGGGTTCGCGTAAACCCACGTCAAGGTAAACGTACCTTTTGCCATACGTAGCGATCGGTTTTCCGTTTGCCGCCTGTAAGTTTAGGGTCGATTCGTGAAGTCGGTCGTTAGGATTTGCTGGGAGAACGCTAACTTCTGCGCCAGTGTCGACGAGGTAGCGAACTCTCGTTGTCACATCTGTGACGAATAACAGATGGCTTTGTTCGCCGGCTACGGTTGCCGTTAACGCGTGCCGGCTTGGAAGTTTCCCGAATTGCTTTTCGAATCAGTCGGTTTCGTGTTGGGAAAATTGCAGGGTTTTCTGCAATTTCTGGAAAGCTTTCCATACTGGTTATGATACCAGCACCAGTCGGGGTTATCTGTCTCTCGTGGTCTAGAGACAGATCGCTTACGAGAAATGCTTCTACGTGGTATGCACGATCTCTTACGGTCGGTACGAAGACTAAGATAACGCGTGAGTGTGTGACATAAGTCGTTTATATCATTCTGAGTCGTTTGAGGTTTTTCTTTGACTGAAAATACCTCGGTAGTAGAAGGTTTCGTAATTTCTAAAATGCGGTCGGCAGATGCAGCTAGCTCGTCTAAGGCGTTGTTCTGGAACGAGATCAGAACTGCTTGCACCTGTTGGGAAAGTTTTCACAAGAAGAGTTGTTTGAATAGACCTTCGTCGAAAGTTCTTGGGCCTATTACCTCTCTCATCCGTTGCAACATGTCCGTCGCAGAACCGTGTTGCAGGTCGATATTGTTGAAGAGTTGATCTAACCTTTGTCGATCGGTTAGGTCTCCTCGTTTAAGAATCGAGCGTTTTAAGATTTCGTAAGGATCGGAAACATCACTAGTAAACATAATAGGTGTTACGTACCTGTTGAATTCGCGCGGTAGTGCCTTGACTACTGCGAGGAATTGTGCACGTGTGTCGATCACGCCGTGCTCGGAGAAGTCGGCTTCTGCGTAGCAAAACCAGGCTTCGGTGTTGTCGGGCCAGAAAGGCATCAGTTGAAACGAAGGTGGGGACAAGGTCTTAAGCTTGAGTACTTTAGGTGTCTGTTCAGTCATGATGAAATATGAAGTACGACAATGAACGAGGGGAAAAAATATATATATATCCAAGAAAAAATACGAAAAAAAAATCACAATGTTTAAAAAAATAAAAAAATAAGGCAATGATATATAAAAATCCCAAAAAGGAACAGACTCACAGTTGCAATTAGGTGTACCAGATCACGTCGGGCTCGCCAATGATGATGTCACAGGTATTCAGTGTTTGACAACGCTTCTACCAGTAACACCTTCTAATGTATTTCGTTCCCGACCAGAGAAATCAAACGACAGAGTCGAGGAGATCGGAAGAGTATATTTGGCGATGACCAATATATCGGAATTCTCTGATCTAATCTGGCTAGCGATTGCGGTTGATGTTGAGCACGGCGTTACCACACGTGATCTGGTGCGGATGCAAGACCGAGCGCCTTCAGCTAGATGAGTCCACTAAAACATATGGTCAGCATCCAATGTCGAAAACTTAGGGCTATTTATTTTGGGGATTTATTTACCGCTACAGTTCGAATTATTTTTCATGGTTATCGTTTTTAGCGACCGGCATTAGCCCCAGGGAGCTCCGCGTGGAGTTCCTGATGTTTATAGCACCTACATAAGATCTAAATCCATCAGTAATGTGAATGATCTAACAAGGTTACTGGTATACGTGACCAAAAGCATCTAATGGATATATCACATTTCGCCTCACAACCTCCTAATCAACAGACTTAGGCTAGTTACAATTAATTGATGGAAATGAATTAAATTTTTTTACGGCTAACAGATACAAAATAAATTTAAAAGTCTTCACAACATCTACAGGTTGACCAACAATCAGTGGTGTTACGCAGAGTTTTCTGAACCCATCGCTTTTTATTATCTACATAAACAATGTATCCATGTGCTTCAACATAAGATGACTTAGGAAACATCTATAAAACTAACATTTGCTAGGTATATAATAGTACTGTGGAAACAATCCAGTATGAATTCAAAAAGGTAGATACCTGATGTAAGCTGTGGAGCCTATAACGTGAAACAGTGAAATGCAGCTATGTAGTGCAAACACATATGTCAAAGTAAAACTAACACATGACAAGAACCTACTGCACAAATTCACGTCTGTAATGCTGTGAGTTTAAATGCGGCTTTTTATAACGTCATTTAATCGCCAATAGAAATGCGACCTATTCACACTTGTACTGTACTCAACCAATAACGTTCGACCGGTCTGATCAGCTCAGCGTCAGTAGTGGCTTTTTTCTCACCTAACCCGTCCAGTTGAGTTCAGAACACCAATATTAGCTACCACTATGCGAATAATGTATTTCGTACATACTTGGTTTATATACCAGCCAAACAGACCGCATTGCGCCATAAAATAGAAAATAACATTTATACACAATAAAGCCAAAAAGGGGCTGCAAACGTGGGAGACAATAATTAATAGACTGAGTATAATTTAAGAACAGTAAATAGTATAATTATAAATTATAGGTCAAAATGGATCTTATAATAAGGGGAATATCGATATACTCATTCTAGTTACTGGACAGTTATACAATAGGGAAGTATATAATACTAATCCATTAATAGGTCGCAGAAGTTACTCGTAATTTATTCTTCATCAGGATATAACAGGTAACTGACCTTTGGATGCATTACTCTCATACTCTTAACTTCTCTTAGCATATCTCCACTAAAGTATATAAAATGCGGAAATTCCTAAACTTCATTCTCTGTAGCGTTTTTCAAAATGAATCTACAGTAATTTTTTACAAGATATATGTAAGACCTATCGTCGAATGACGTTCGTTATTATTTTCCGACTTTTGTCTGAAATACTGAATGTATAGGAAATACAACGTGAATTCACTCGCAAAATGCTTAAAACTTGTTCGCCTATTGACAGTTGTTTCCGATGATGTATCCGAGATCTTAAACCCCTCTGGAAAAGAATGCTTGTGTTCAATTTGACTTTCTACTGCAAGTCCATTACTAATCTTAATTACTCCACTTGTAATATAGTTCTTACCAAAGGTCCACATGTATACAATCTTGAAGATATAGTATCAACAGCCAAAGTTGAAAAATACAGATCAAAAACTTCCTCCTCAAGTATCCAATAATATTGGACAGTATCACCCATGAAATACACATGACAGATGGACTACGTACGTTTCTATGACTTTCTGATGAAGCTCTCGCTTGCACTGACCTAGTTCGCGCAAACCTGTCTGTGCCCTACTCAGATATCATAGACCATTTACGTGTTTAAACCGCATCAGAAACTGAGTTTAGTTTTGCTTACTCTTCTTCTTTGCAGTTGTATCAGATATATTTTCGCAGCTACATTTCCCTCTTTATTTTGACTTGAAATAGACAGATAAATCACCTGACATATTGATACTACTCAGCTTTAATCGGATGCAAGAGATGCACACTAATATCTTAAAAAGCTTCCAAGTGAACCTTCTGCATATCACCGGTGGTTTAGCATCTATGGAGCCTGCAACCTACCAAACAGTTAGGAAAGCACAAAACACCGTCAGTACCAAGTAAACATGAGTGCCTGCTTGTATATTTTTCATCAGTTTACCACTTTTATGTGCACTTTGTTGAGTTGCGAGCAATTCCATGTCAGTACTCACCGCCTTACACGCAATTATTAAATACTTACACTTTTTCTCCCACTACTGTGAAAATTTGCCTGCCATTATACCTTTCTGTTGTAGCGTGGTGTCGAGTTGAGATTAACTGTGAACACCGCTACCAAGAAACACGTGCCAGATAAATCAGAAGGCGAGGATCGAACGTAACCAGATTTATTTCGTTGGCGATCTCGTGGTATTGAACGAATACCGAGATCGTGCCAAGAAGTGGTACAAGTGGAAGCAGAAGACAGGAGTACGTGCGAACAGTACCGAAAACCGTGGAACAATTATGGAAGGTAATGGAAGCACAAAAAGGCTACAATTAGCACAGTTAAACAAAAGCACATTAAAACAAACACTGGTACAGTTGGTTATAATAATAATTGTTTTTATTAAACCAGTCGTGTTCTCGTGATGAATGTGAGTCACTACAGGAGCCCTCCGCTAGAAAGGGTTTACACTTTCGATAAATAACGGTTTGAATCGTGGGACTGATCGGCTGACGAGCGATTGTAGGACGAAAAGATTGGCGAACAGGAAAGCGATCGTTGATCGTCGAGTTGCCAACGAAGGTCGTTTTCGGAGAACGGTACCAGGAGCGATGTGCTGTATTTGTTGCTTGAATTGGCATGCTACACCAGAGTGGTTTGTATCCAGAAGCTGAAGAGGGCGTTCGTAGGGATGCGGACCAGAAACGCTGCAGACGAAGGACGAAACCACGTTGAGCCAAAAGACCAGAAGCGACCGTAACGACCAAGTTCGAGACCAAGCGTGTGCCAAGCGTTCGAAACCAATATATCGACTGAGTGCGTTGACAAGAGCATGGGTGATCAGGCCAGCTTTCGCCAAAGTTGACTGAAGTCGACGGAACCAAGCGGAGATGGTCGAAGGCGTGGGCTCAGGAAACAAAAAGAAAATCAAAAAAGAAGAGTGTAGCATGCAAGTAGCATAGGAATATTCCTACACCGTATCGGTCGTCGACTGTGCGACTAGTCGAGGAAGCGCACGGGTAACCGTACTCGGCGACGGGAACGTGAGACGATAGTCTCGTTCGCGTCGCGTGAGCCTGCAATCTCATCCGAAGTCAAGGGCGGCGTGGTCTGCTGATCTGGACGTGAGACAGTCGTCTCGTCCGTAGACGGTGCAGATGACGCGTGCTGTTGACTGGGACGTAAGAGTGAGGTCTCAGTTGTATCTAGCGTGGGACCTGAAGATGGTTTGAGGATCCCGCTAGTAGGTTTGGTAGGTCTAGCATTGAATCTCAGGTTATCAGATAGGGCACTGTCATCGACGTGTGCTGGTTTGAGACGATCAATGCTGACGATCTCGACGCGGCCGTGTCGATCAACCTTGAAGGTCTTTTCGTGACGAGCGATCACGCGAAAAGGGCCTTCCTAAGGTTGTTGCAAAGGTTTGCGTACCGAATCTACTCGTATGAAAACATGTGAACAGGTAGATAACTCTCGAGGGAGAGCGACCTGTCGATGTTGTATTCGAGTTGACACCGGAGGCAGCGTTCGCATAAATGCAGACAGTCGTTGGACGTAGTCTGGTTTAGCGGAATTAGGTCTTCTCCGTGGTGTGAAGAATTCCCCGGGCAGACGCAATGTCGTGCCGTATACAAGTTCAGCGGCGGAACATTGTATATCTGCCTTTAAACTCGTTCTGATACCTAAAAGAACGAGCGGTAAGGTTTCATACCAGTCGTCGTTTTCGTGTGCTCGAAGGGCACTTTTAAGTTGACGGTGAAACCTTTCAACTAAACCGTTTGAAGCTGGATGGTAGGCGGTAGTGCGTATTCGTTCCGTACCAAGCAGCCGAGTAAGTGAGGAGAATAGTGCGGACTCAAATTGTTGTCTTCGGTCAGTCGTGACAGTCGAGGGACAACCATATAGAGCTATCCATCGTTCTACGAAGCGGTGAGCAACTGTCTCCGCCGTGATAGACGTGATGGGTATAGCTTCGGGCCATCTGGTGAAGCGGTCGATGCACGTGAGTATGTGATCATACCCGTGCGATGGTGGCAGTGGTCCTACAATGTCTAAGTGAACATGATCGAAGCGAGCATCAGGCGTAGCGAATGTACCGAGGGGGCGGCTACGTGCCTGTGCACTTTTGATCGTTGACATTGTAAGCATTGCTTAGCCCACATGCGAACATCTTTATTCATGGACGGCCAGACGTATCGTGCAGCGATGAGGCGTAAAGTAGCTGCGATACCTGGGTGAGATAATCCATGCAGGGCATCGAATACGAGACGGCGATAAGCAGAGGGTACGATGGGTCGAGGAAGACCGGTAGACGTATCACATAGAATGGTGCCAGAAGTCGTGGCTAGAAGTACTTCCTGATACTGAAGGGACGTAGAGTGTGGTGTTTTTGTACAACTGGGATCGTTTGCTTGGGCAGCGGCCATAGCAGGAAGATCGAGCACCGGCAAGGTAACTGCATTCATTTGGATTCGTGATAGAGCATCGGCAACACAGTTCGACTTGCCTTGGATGTGACGAAGGTCTGTCGTGAACTGAGAGATATAGTCCAAATGTCTGCACTCTCGTGGTGAGTAGCGGTCAGACTTGGTATGCAAAGCATACGTTAAGGGCTTATGGTCGGTGAATAAAATGAATTGACGTCCTTCTACTGCGTGCCGAAAATGTTTGATGGCGCAGTAGGCTGCTAGCAGCTCGCGACCAAAAGCGCTATATCTCGTCTCCGTGGTAGTAAGGCGTCGTGAGAAGAACTCGAGAGGTTGCCAACTACCGGAGATGTTTTGTTGCATGACTGCTCCTATAGCGACATCGGATGCATCAACCGCTATACTAAGCGTGGCTGATGGATCGTGATGAGCGAGAAGAGTGGCTTGCGCAAGGGCCGTTTTGATTTCAGTGAATGCAGTACGTGCAGAATCGTTCATTTCCAATCTGCGTGGGTTGCCGCGTAGTAAGTCGGTTAGTGGTCGCAACCGTTCTGCCGCGTGTGGGATGAAACGACGGTAGAAGTTAACCAAACCGAGAAAAGCCTTCAGTTCCTTGAATGAGGACGGCTCGTTGTACTCCTTTATTGCTTGCACTTTGTCCTCACAAGGTAAAATATCCTCTTGCTTGATAACATGACCCAGAAATATGATTACTCGTTTACCTAACTCGCATTTGTCTGGGTTAACTACTATTCCATTATCCGAAAGGCGTTGGAATAATAGCGTAAGATGTTGATAATGTTCATCTACGTTTGATGATGCGATTAGCAGGTCATCAATATAGACGTGAACAAAATCGAGGTCTCGTACAATGCTATCGATAAACCTTTGAAAAGTTTGAGCAGCATTCCGTAATCCAAATTGCATTCGTAGGAACTCAAACAAACCGAAAGGAGTCGTGATAGCAGTCTTTTCGATGTCTTCAATAGCGACTGGGATCTGATGATATGCTCGTACCAGATCGATCTTAGAAAAGATAGTCGTGCCCTTGAGCGATGCCGTGATGTCGTGTATGTGGGGGATGGGGTAGCTATCGAAGCGCGTAACTACGTTTAGAGCTCGGTAGTCGCCGCATGGTCTCCAACTAACCCCATCTTTTTTGCGCACCATGTGTAGAGGAGAGGCCCATGGACTGTGAGAAGGACGAATAATACCAGTAGCTAGTAAATTGTCAAACTCACGCTTAGCAAAAGCTAATTTGTCCGGTGCCAGTCGGCGAGGTCGTGCCGTGACTGGCGGTCTGCGGGTGACTATGTGGTGTACCACACGATTGGTCACCGATGGAAGCTCCTCGAGTGGTTTAGTGAGTACGGGGAATTTCTCGAATAAAGCGTGGAATTTATCGTCACGCGAGTAAAAAGTGCCGAGGATTCGGTACGCGTTCATGTGGGCTTTACAGCCCATGAATTTGCTGTTCGACGAAGTATCGATTAGCTGCAGCCTACGTGAATCGACAAGCAATTCATAGTGCTGTAGAAAATCGATACCTAGTATGGCTGTGGGAACATCAGCAATGATGAACGTCCACAGATACCGTCGTCGGTTGCCCAGGTTGACCACGAGTTGTCGTGTACCGTAGGTAGGAATGACTGAGCCATTCGCAGCGCGTAGTCGAAGCACTGTGGCTTGTGACTTGCTGCTACCTCGTGGAACGACAGAAACTTGGGCCCCAGTGTCTACTAGGAACCTAGCGTTTGTGCGATAATCGTGCACATAGAATAGGCGACCAACCTGGGGAGAAGGGCCGGCGAGTACGGCCGCTTTTACTCGCCGGCGCTGGCGTTTCCCGCCTTGTATGAGCATGGTGCTCGACAACAGCGGGCGCCAGACCCGAAGGACCTATGGAACCAGCACCAACTGTCACTCGCTTCCGTAGCCGCCTTTCGGCGTGGCCTGGAAGATGCCCTTTTTGGGCGAGTGGTGACGGGTTTGCGAGAACTTGAGCGAGCTCGGGGGACGTAGGGTTGGGGTACGTTACAACGGTCTCGAAAACTAAGACGTGTGTGGATACACCCGTCCCTGTCGCCATGAGCTGAGGAATGACCGGCGTCCAAGTCTACTTTAGGACGTGCCGTTGAAGCAACTACATAGGTATCTTTATTGCTAGTCCTCGCTAAAATTTTATCTGCTGTAAGGGCTACCTGGTTAAGCGGTGAGTCCTCGAGCAGTGCCGTCACAGTGGGTTGGATATGCGCTGGTAGTGACTCTAGCCACAATTCCTTAACTATTTCTGAGTCACTTGCTGTTGGTCCTGCAAGAGATTGCAGGCGCGTGAGGTGGTGGCTTGGTTTAGCATCACCCAGGGGGTGACGTGCTAACAGTGTCCTCAATCGTTCCTCCCTTGATGGGAGGAAATGTCGGAGAATTGCCTCCTTGAGGCGGTCATAAACATTAGGTACGTTAGAATTGAGGACGACCTCACGAACAGCTACTAAATGGTCCCCGGGTAACGATTCGAGAGCGTAGGCGTATTTTTGCCTTTGGCTCGTGATGCGACGAGTCTCGAACTGAGACTCTATTGCAGCAAACCAGACCTCAGGGTCGTGGGGGATAAATGATACAGGTCGAAAATGAATGGCCTGTACGTCTGAGTCTATAACATTAATAGTATTTTTCTCGCTATCCGCCATGTCGTGTATATTATATATTAAAAATTAATATGAAAATATACGACAGACGTGGATAGATAAATAATAGACTCACCAAATTGACTTCTTTGGAAGATTTGACCCGAGGTTGCGGCGTGTTCCAAACTTTGGGATCACCAATTGTAGCGTGGTGTCGAGTTGAGATTAACTGTGAACACCGCTACCCAGAAACACGTGCCAGACAAATCAGAAGGCGAGGATCGATCGTAACCAGATTTATTTCGTTGGCGATCTCGTGGTATTGAACGAATACCGAGATCGTGCCAAAGAATGGTACAAGTGAAAGCAGAAACGGGAGTACGTGCGAGCAGTACCAAGAACCGCGGAACAATTATGGAAGGTAATGGAAGCACAAAATGGCTACAATTAGCACAGTTAAACAAAAGCACATTAAAACAAACACTGGTACAGTTGGTTATAATAATAATTGTTTTTATTAAACCAGTCGTGTTCTCGTGATAAACGTGAGTCACTACACTATAAAGCATTACTTAGCTACAGAAAATTCACTGTCTTTTGTATAAGGATCGTTACTATCTTTTCTTAGGTAGCTAAATGTGGTAAGTCATTTAGTGCCTACGTATCACATTAGAAGTTTTGAAAACAATTGTTAGTAACTGAAAGAAAATGAGGTCACTTTTGAGCATGCATTCTACCTTTTTATGATGTTTTGGAGTACATTAATAAAGTCTTTTTAGAAGAACGTGAACTAAGATATGAAGGAAATAAGTTGGCAATATGAATAAAATGTGAGCGAGTTGGGCAAGCTTCTTTTCAATGACGTAGATTGATCCGTTTGGGTTAATCATGTTTGTCTTTGAATTTTCCTCAAACTTTCGCCCTGTTGTGATTCAGTCTTTATTCTTCATTAATAAGGATTGCAAGTCGTTTAACTTTTGTTAGTCACCCAGTAAAGATCTTGCTAGTCATTGGAAGTGCTTTGAAGGGCTTGATATCACTTGTTCGAGTATGGCATTTAAGTCACTGAGCAGTCGATGAGAAGAATGGAGTCCGAATGTGATTTTCTTTGACCGCAATTTTTAAACTTTCTTGTATTGGTCTCAGAGATGATTAGTTTTGGAAGAAGCAAAAAGACGAGACATACTAGCACTGAGATTTCTATTACGGATATAGAATACCTATATAGAATCAATTCGCGTTTAAGAGAGAGTTCGGAAAGACCTATCTGTAAATTAGTTTCCACACGCTGAACATCTTTGACTGTATCAGTATCTTTAATAGGACATCAGCTAGCTGCGCGGTTGTAATACAGCAGGAAAATTAACATTCCTGATGGCAATCAGATACCGTCATCGTCTTCATCATAGATGATAGAATTCGATTGTGATATGTCTCGGTTCTATGACTGGAATTACGTGAAATGTCAGGGTTGAATCTAATTCTTTGGTTTTTAGGTTTAGTGTGGATACAAAACTGAAATTAAAGGGAAATGTCTAACCGTGTGTTTGGCAGAGTTGAACGCAGTGAGAACTGAAAAATCTGAAAACTCTTTCCTGATTCAGATTAGTATAAGGAATATTCTAAGTGTTTTGCTTCTTGTCATTCTACTAAACATTCTCCAATCACTTTCACTAAATTATTCTATGATGGTGTATTTATTCGGTTCAAACTTTGCTAATCACCTAACCTGCTTATCAGGCTCATTTTCAATACAGGGATTATAAATATTTAGTCAACCAAAATATTTGGTTACCAGTCATAACGACAACACAAATGGATATTATTTCTAAATCATTATCACGAAAGAATCAGATTTATTTTCCGAAATTTTACATATTTAAGTAAGGTATTTGTTAGTAGTTTACATTCATTTTGCATATAATTATAAGATAAAGATAGTGAGACTAAAATGAATGGGATTATAAAATTTAATGATCTGAAGTTATGTTAGCAGCCAGTAAACAAGTATGACTGCTTGGAGACAAGTGTGACGAGAGTAAAGCAGATATAAGTGACAGCACTGGATAATAGACATATAATAGAATGAAGCAACTAAAGTAATAAAAAAGAATCATAGGTTAATGGGAAACTCACTTAACAACGAAACCTAGTATCAGTGCTGTAGAAGATCGTTGGTAGTTGCCACTGAGGAGAATCATCCAAGGACAAAATCACTTACTTAATTACGTCTGTTAACCACAATGGAGCACAGGCTGCCGACCAGCATACTCCAACCTACTCTGTCCTCAGCCTCCCTTCCTAGTTCTGTTCAATTTTTGTTCATTCTTATCATGTGTGTCTCCATTTCTCGGTGTAATGTTTTCTTTGGTATTCCTCTTCTTTTTTGGCCTTGAGAATTCCAAGTGAGGGCTTACCTTGTGACACAGTTCTGTGATTTCTTCAATGTGTGTCCTATCCACTTCCAGCACTTCTTCCTCATTTTTTTTCTCCACTGGACATACGATTAAGGCGGCCTGCTTAAGCATCTGGGCTACCTGTTCCTGCCATCCAGATATTTCAACAAGTTATCTATTTTTATTTGTTTCAATATATCAATATGTTTATTAATCACATGATGTATTCTGCTGCGTTTCTAAAAAGTGTACAACCTTTCGTTGTCAAAGTTACAAAAAACTCAATAAGAGACAATGTGGTTGCTGGCAATATACAGCGAAAAGAATGCACATTATACAGATGTTCATTTACTGAACTGCTAACATCTAACCGGCGATCACTCAATATTTATCCAGGACCGACCAAGAAGAAAAAAATGGAAACTTGTTGAAATACTTTGTGCTGAGAATTCTATATTGTACCAAAAATAATATTGAATAAAGCTGATAATAATAATAATAATAATAATATAATAATAATCTGGTTTGCTCTCTCAACAGTAGGTGTTGCTGTTAGGGTTTTAGCTAACGTATCCGAAGCATTTTCGTAGAAATTGTTAATAAACACCTGTATCTTCTGGATGATGGCCATCGTAATTCTCCAAGTCTCCACACCATACAGTAGAATGTTTTAACATTTTTATTATAATTCTGACTTTGATGTTGGCTAATAGATAGTTGTTAGAGTTGTAGATGTTCTTCAGTTGTAATATAATACTTCTTGCTTTCCGATCCGCGCCTTCACATCTGCATCAGATCCACCGTGTTCATCAATGATGCTGCCCAAATATGTAAAGGTTTTTACATCTTCCAAATCCTGCCATCAAATGTGGGACTGGTGCATGTTTGTTGTAGCAGAGAAATCTTGCATTTCCCTTTGTGGATTACCTACCTAATTATTGAAGGGAGCGCATCTCAAATGATATAGAATAGTTGGGACAAAGCAAAGGCCGTGACGAACTATTTCGGGACAGTTTTCACCCATGAACGTTTTCTAGAAGAAGAACTCGACCGAAATGCGAAGTCACATAATCGGATGTTTACTGTGAACTTCGGTTGAGACGATGTACTAAAAGTGCTTGTAACCTTAGATACGAAGCCATCAGCAGGACCGGGTGAATTACACTAAATCAGTAGATGTTACCCACATAGACTTCAGTAAAGCATCTGATAAAGTGCAGAAAAATACATTACTTTTGAGGCTAGAATATCTAGGTATTTTGGACCTCCTCAAAAGTGGATTAAGGATTTCTTGGTAGGTTATGGACAGAAAGTGAGAATAAATTCAAAGTTCTCCTCCTGGAGACCAGTACTTAACGTAGTACCGCAAGGCTCTGTCCTAGGTCCTTTACTTTTTATGCTGTACGTATATGAACTCCTATATGCAATTAACTCCTCAATGCTATTATACACTGGAGATGTAAAAATCCTGCGAAAAACAACAGCAGACACAGATGCATGTGCACTTCTGGAGAACTTAGATGTCCCGATCAACTGGTCTAAAAAATTAGTCAAGTATGTTTCCATGCATTTTGGGGATACAAAGGTGATAGGCACGGCATAGGGGAGGTGCCCGTACCCGTGTTTTGGTCTCATAAAAGTCTTCGGGTGGCGGTGAGTCATAATATTAAGACCACGGTGCACTGCCAGGAGGTTGCAGCTAATGTGCTTGGAGACCTATGGGCTTTAAGTCGGACACCTACAAAGTTAGATACTAGTACGTTCACTACAGTATACACAAATTTAGTGCTATCTAACTGGACAACTGCGCTCAGGCTGCAAGCCCTTGTTTGAAAAATGACTCGGATATCCTGGAAAAAGTACAGAGGGCAGCTATCTGTGCAATTCCAGAACTCCGGGGTTAGCCGTACAAATAACAGCTTGTGAAGCTGAATCACATTGTTCTATCCTATTGCTGACTGACTGATCGCGGACTAAGAGATGATTTGATATATCGCATATATCCTCTCTTTTGCTTCTTACCAGATCACGACAACTCAAAAGACATAGCAGGCCAATGGAAAAACCAAGAACCAAAGAAATAATGGCAGCATACAGGTTTTCACATCGAGTTAACAATTCTTGGAAACTGTTACCTGAAGCAGTCGTGTCTGCTCCTTCAATCAGTTCATTCAAGAAACGGCCATACACTCTCGGCTCAGTGGTGAATGACAAACACAGGCCGTAGGCCTTGTTTTTATCACATGAATCTGAATCTGTTTGCTGTTAATCAACATGATAGTGCCGACGAATATTTCAAATGGTTTCTAATGTTTGTGGATGGAATTAAAGTAGCTTTCGCTTCCGTACCTAGAAGCACTGGACCACCGATGCCTCTAGCTATGAACCCAGTTATGTTTACCAGTAATTAGGGAATTACCAGTAAGTAATAGTGAAATGCTGTCATAAGTCCCTATGTATATTTCAAGTTCAATCTTGAAGGAATCCTGGGAAGACACTTGAACCATCCCAGAGAATTCCATAACCTGACTACTTGTGAAGTGTAGATGTGACCATAGCCCATTCTGCTATACGCGTTCCTTATTCCTGTGTGTTACTCCTAAAGTTTGCATTGAGACTGAGCTCAAGTTAATTTATAAGGGAGTGCTTAGGGGCATCAAGGATGCTATAAGTCATCATGTCACCTCTGAGACCCCTATAAACTAATTAATGAGTAATAATTATTACAATAATGAAGACTACGTGATTTGAGGTTCACTATATGAGGTTGGATTTAAGACCAGAAATTGATTTCATGGCTTGCCTGTGTTCTAGTTTACTCTTATTCCCCTGGAGTGAGTTAGGAAACACCATGCATACGTACTCAAAATGAGGTGGAATAAGGCTGTCGGAGATTAAATGTAAAACTGAAAAAAAAGTTTAAACATTACCAGTGCAAGGTTTTCATCAAAATCATTTTGCCTCAGTTAGCACAGCACTTTAGATAATAGGGTACAAACACTTCTGGATCCTTTTAAAATCGAAATACTTCCAGAGGGAAATAACCTAAGTTGTATGAGTAGTCATCAACATATCTTGGACAGGCCACTTTACTCTTTGACATGAGGTCAGCTAATCTTGATGTACTTGCTTGTTATCGTGGCTCCAGGCTTCCCTTCAAAGCT